CTGTACCATCTCCATGGCACCTAACAATAACAACAACTGTGAATGGTGGAGTCCTGGTGTGGCGCTGTAGGATAACTACTCCACTGCAAGGTTGGTTGCAACTGCAAAGTTGGAGGTTCAAACTGACCAGCCACTCCTCAGAAACCCTATACAGGCCACCGTAAGTCAGGACCGACTTTAAGGCACATAACAACAGCAACATTGTGAATGGTATTGTTTTCTTGGTTTCCTTTTTGGAGTTCTACTTGCTAATGTCGAGGAATCCAACTGATTTTTATATGCTGATCTTGGACTCTACCATTTTGCTGAACCCTTTTATTATTTCCAGTAACTTTCCTGTGGAATCTCTGGGATTTTTATGGATAAGATCATGTCATCTGCAAATAGGGTCAGTTTTACTTCTTCCTTACCAGTATGTTAAGTGTCATACAGGGTTACTATGAGGGAGAGACTGGTGAGCTTTATTCACTGACCTTGTGGTTCCGAGCGACTTTGCAGTCCAGTACAATAACCTGCAGCGCCACACAAGGACTCCTAACCAATTTGTGGTAGTGGTTATGTGCCGTGGAGTCGGATCTGACTCATAGTGACCCTGTACAGGGTTTCTGAGGCTGTCAATCTTGACGGAAGCAGAAAGCCTCATCTTTCTCCCGCGGAACAGCTGGTAGTTTCAAACTGCTGACCTTGTGGCTCGTGGCTCCATTCATAACCACTACGCTACCAGAGCTCCTTCGTAACCAATTTGCATGTCCTTTATTTTTCTTTCTTGCATTATTGCTCTGACTGGGACTTTCAGTGTAATAGTGATGATGGACATGGTTTTTCGTTCCCATTCTTAATAAAAGGTGAATGGGCAATGCTTCAGTTTCTCTCTGTTGAGAATAATGTTAGCTGTTGGTTTTGCATATATGCTCTTAATCAGGTTGCGGAATATCCCTTCTATTCCTATTGGTTGAGAGTTTTTATCAGGAAAAGTTGTTGAATTTTATCAAATACTTTTTCTGCATGATTGAGTTGGTCATGTGATTCTTTTCCTTTGGTTTATTTATGTGGTGAATTACATTGATTGATTTTTCTAATGTGGTGCCACCCTTGCATCCTGGTATGAATCTCATTTATTCATGATATTGATATACTGTTATATATTCTTGGTTAGAATTTTGTTGAGAAATTTTGCTTATACTCATGAGATTTATTGGCCTATAATTTGTGTGTATGTGTGTGACATCTTGACTTGACTTTGGTGTCAGAATTTGCTGGCTTTATAAAACAAATTAAGGACTCTGGTAGCATAGTGGTTACAAGTCAGGCTGCTAACCTCAAGGTCAGCAGTGAAAACAACCATCTGTTCGGTGGGAGAAAGATGAGGCTTTCTGCTTCCATTAAGATTTGCAACCTCAGAAACCCTTTGCAGGGTCACTAAGAGTCAGAACTGAGTCTTTGGCACCGAACCACCACCACAACCCCCATAGAATGAAATGGGGAGTCTTCCTTCCTTTTCTATGCACAGGAATAGGGAATAATATAGTAGAATTGGTGTTAACTCTTTGAGTATTTGTTAGAACTCTCCAGTGGAGTCGTCTTGGCTTGGGTTTTTCTTTTGTTGTTAGGATTTTTTTGTTTTTAAATATGGCATCTTCGGTTTATTTTCTTATGAGTCTATTTTTTGACTGTAATTGTATTAGTTAGGTAAATAGAAGTTTGTCCATTTTAAGTTTTCAAATTTGTTG